ACGGGAGGGTCCGGGGGTACGGAGCTTTGCAGCGGGAAGTGCCAAGTGTCCTGCCAAGGTTCCCCCGAGGGAAGGAGCCGAGCGCTCGGCGCTGTCCGTGCCGAGGTGAGTCCTGGCGCTGCGGGACAGGTCGGACTGGGTTCGGCTTCGTGGCGTTTGTTTCTCCTCCTCTTCGTTCGTTTTTCCCTTTTTGTTTCCTTCTTTTATTGCTTCTTTTTTTTTCTCCGTGTTTTTCTTCTTTTTGCCCCCCTTTTCTAATCCTTTCTTTTTTTCCTTTTTCTTCTTCTTCTTTTTCTTTTTTCCTTCTTGTCTCTTTTTTCTCTTTTTCCTTCTTTTTTCTACGTTTCTCTTCTTCTTTCTCTTCTTTATTCCTTCTTTTTCTCTAGTCACTTCTTTTTTCTTTTTTCCTCTTTTTTCCTCTTCTTTTTCTCTTCTTTTTTCTATTTTCTTTTTTTGTGTTTTTCTTCTTTATTCTCTTCTTTTTCTTTTTCTCTTCTTTATTCTCTTTTTTCTCCTATTTTCTTTTTTTGTTTTTCTTCTTTATTCTCTTCTTTTTCTCTTCTCTTCTTTCTTCTTTTTCCTCTATTTTCCTGGGTTTTCTCTTCTTCTTTTTCTCTTTTCTCTTTGTTCTTCTTTTTTCTCTGTTCTTTTTTCTCCATTTTTCTTTTTTCTCTTTATTCCTTATTTTTCTTTTTCTCTCCTTTATTCCTTCTTTTTTCTCTTCTTTTTCTCTTCCTTTTTCTCTTCTTTATTCTCTTTTTCCTTCTTTTTCTCTTTTCTCCTCATCTTTTTCTCTTCTTTTTTCCTCTTTCCTTATTCCTCTTTTTTTTCCTCTTCTCTTCCTAAGTCCTTTCTTTATTTCTTCTCTTTCTTCTCCGAGGCCAAACCCTGCCCTGCTGACATCCCTCCCCCTCACCTCCTCCCTCTGGATACAAAACTAACCCTGACAAAGTTACATTATCCCCCTAACGATTCTTTCTCCCAATACAATCTGCCTCCAGCCACACCCAGAGGAGCCACCACCCTGTCTGTTCTTCACACACACCTATTTTTCCTCCCTGTCATTCCCTTTTCCCAGCATTTTCCCAGCTGATCCCCCTGGGCCATGGCTGTGCGGCGCTGGATGAGTCTCCAGTTTGGGAATGTCTCTGAGTGTCCCAATGGATCCCAGTGGGTGATGGATGTGTTCCATGAGTGTGCCCAGGATGGCTGGGACATGGCCAGTGTCATCCTGGGGTTACTCTCCATCCTCTGCTTTGCTGCTGCCTCTTTCCCGTGAGTATCCATCCCAAATCCTGGCACAGCAGG